GCAGGTAGTATATAAGTCGGAACGAGCCGGATCGGACGACTATAGCATATAGCTCCCATAGGAACAATCGGAAAAATAAATGAAAAAAAATTATAACTTTTCTGTTTTTTAATGTTTTGTTTAGTTCTTCGACATTTAGTAATGGTTAAATATTTTCGATTTACGGTTTAAATTTCATCAAAGTCGGACGACTATATCATATAGCTCCCATAGGAACAATCGGAGAAAAAAAATGAAAAAAAATTATAACTTTTCTGTTTTTTAATTTTTTGTTTAGTTCTTCAACATATGGCAATGTTTAATTATTTCAGAATTATGGTTTAAATTTTATCAAAATCGGACGTCTATATCATATAGCTCCCATAGAACTAATAAAAATATATAAAATAACTATCTAATAATTGAGCTGCAAATCATCATAGCTTCACTGTTTTTCAGTATATACTGAAGTAAATCATAATTTAAATGTTTTCAAAAGTATTTAATTCATGCAATAGCTGCAAGGGTATATGAACTTCGGCTTGCCGAAGTTTGCTTTCTTTCTTGTTCATAATATATTTTAAGACATCTTTAATACATAAACTATAAAATCTATAAAATATATTACAAACGGGTGGCATTTGTTTGGCCCTGTGCATAGCAATGGCACACGATTCGAGAACGCTGTGGGCCATTAAAGTGTGCATATTGTCGCCATCGGGAGATTCAAAGCGGGGTCTTTGAAAAGAAGGAGGAAAAAAAGGACCCATTGGGCCAAACCCGCAGCCGCAGAGTCACCGACATGGTAAAAATTCATGTTTGCCAATGTGTCCTTCCACCAGTTCGATCTGACTGTGAGTGTGTGTGTGTGTGGGCTGTCCTTCTAACTTGTGGTGCGTTGTCCTATTTACGTTGTCGTACTCATGCATTTCAATCAACAAACACAACACAATTTAAATATGCTGATTGGGTGGCTGAAATTTCGGTTGGTCATCAGGCTCGCCAGGGACATTGTTTTAGCCCCGTTCGCTGGCTTGGGGGCCATCTTTAATTGGCTTTGAACATCGCCTTTTTGTTGCACCATTTCCCTCGTTTCGGTGGTAACCATAAATTTTGTTTATTGATGAGCTGCATAGCACAACCACATGTGACATTGCTTAGCTAAAAATAATTTAATTAATTTTTGTTTACGCTTTTTAGTTTAAACTTGCGTGCACACTGTTGACATGCGAAATGGCTTTTTTATAATTGGTTTATTTCGCTACGATGGCCCGGTTGTTTCCCCTTTGGTTTGCGGGAAATTGATGCTTGAAATCGGGGCTGAAAATATAATTATGCTCTTGGTAAAAGCATAGAGGCTGTGTTTATTGAATTCTCAGCTTGAAACACAAAGTAGTATTCCATATATTAAATCGGTGATTAAAGCTTACGGATCTAAATATATTTTATGTAAAATTAATAAGCACAAGCAATAATTTATACGTTACAACGTTTTTGTATTCCTTGATTTGGGTCCTTTCTTAATAGCCTAAAATCTTTATACATTAACTTAGAATAAAAAAATTAAAATAACAAAAAAAAAAAAAAAGAATGCATTGTATATATTCTTTTTTATCATATCACTGTTAAGCTTTTAAGCCCGATAAAGTTCAACCTTCTGCAGCAACTTCATAAATAATCCATTCAACAAGCTCTCCATTTCAATCAGCCTGAGACATCGAGAAGACTTATTTAAAGAAATCACATGAAATCCATAGAATCCGAATTTGTTGAACTTTTTTCCCGCTGGTATGGGAGAGCGATCCGAATATACACCTCTGATTTCCCCCGGCAATTGCCGAAAGGGGTTGGTTGCTGGTGGAAAACTCAGCGAAGGCGTCGCCAAGCTAATCTGCTCGCTGTCAAAAGTCATTGAAACAATTCGAAATGACAACAAATTTGGAAGTCGCACAGAGATACAAAGCAAACACCTACACATATATGGAGAGAAGAAAATCTGCCGGGGGGCGGGATCGGGATTGGAAAAACTTGGGGTCGAACTAGAAGCGAAAACTGCTGACAGTTGCATAAACAATAAAGGCAGCCCCCCAAAAAGCGAACTCAGCCAGCGAAACGAGCCAACGAATGCGGTCAACATCAAAAGAAAGGACTGAAACAAATAAAAAAAGGAATGGGGTGGAAAGGCGGAAGAAAGGGGCTGTCGAAAAGAAAGCGAAACGAAACTAGAACTATTACTGCCACTGCAACACACACATGCAACGTGTGGCAAGTGTAGCAGCAGCTTCCATAACATCCACCCACCGATTTCCACCCGTCCACTCCCCTCATCACCATGATGGCTAGAACAACAATGTGACATTTTTTCCGCTTTGACGACAATTTCCCTCGCGGCAGAAACGGCAGCAACAGCAGCTAGTGCAACACCATTGCCATCGTCACTGCCGAAACTAAAGCCATATACCAATGGCAACTTAACGATACAACGGGAGTGAAGGATCCAAAAGGCCAGAAAGAGCGCCGAAGTTTCAAGTGCTCTAGGACTAGTCATCGTGCTTATAGCAAACATTTCCAGCGTTTGATTCGAAGGTTTTCTTCAAATGTTCAAACATTCTTCGATGTTCAAATATTTATATTTTTACAAAAAACAAGAAGTTTTTTCGATATATGATATATGATACTTTCTTATAGTAATAACTTTGTGAAGAATTTCCTAAAGCTGTCATAAAAATTGTATTTCATAAAAATTGTTAATAAAGATGGTGTACATAACTTTTTATAATTGACAGATAATGTTTTAGCATCTACTTAAATTTCAACACATAAAAAAATAATCTAATTAGGTAAAATTAATTAGCTTATCTTTTGAGCGGTGCACACTCATTTTATATTTAGAACACCTCTTAAAAAAAGTTAAAATACCCCCTCGAAGGGCACGGCAAAGGAAAGTCCAGAGATATAGAGGATGTGTATCCACATCCACGCGTAATGTCGCCAGGCACGAAGGATGTGCACGGAGCACTGGCACGGCGCACAGGACTCACTGCCCTCTTCATTCCATCGCTGGCGCTCGCCTTTGCCTGTGGATCACAAAAGCACGAAATTGATTGTGTAAATAAGAAAACGAAAATGTCGTTAGTTTACGTTTTCCGCTGACAAGCTTTTGAAACTGGCCAGGACTCAGGATGCAGGACTCTGAAAAGGGGCAAACGGACTGAGAATGCAGTAGCAAATAAAAGCTAGATGATGCACAGACCAAATGGCGTTGAGATAGACAAAGAGTGCGATGAAATTAAAAATGGAATTTACTCGTTAGTCGCATTTCCAGTTTATTGCCAACTAACTTTGATGCGAGGCATTATCGGTGAAAAATTGATAGCTGCCGCTCCAAAGGAATCCCTGTGATTGCAAACGAATGGAGTGAAAAATTGCAAAAAAGCTCTTTTGCTCAGACAGCGACAATTGGCAGACAGAGAGTCCATCAATAAGTCAAAAATGTACATAATCCGAAATGCATTGTAAAGCGAATATTTTATGAGCACAGTATTTGATCTTATAAAGCTGAGAGGGTTACAAATTGTTTGACTGGTTGGCAAATGGACAAGTCACATGCAATATAAAATTACTACGCCCTACTATTGATACACTATTTATTAAATATACCAATACAAGTTTGAATTTTTCTTTGTGAAAAACCGCCAAAATCATATATTATCTTAATCATTCATTTTAATAAGAATGTTTTTGTGCTTTTCAAATTTAAGCATACAAAAAAGAATCTAAATGTTTGGACCAGAAGCAGGCAATAAATTTGCCACCACCTGAAGGAATGAAATTCTCCTCAGTATCTCCTTTTATTCTTAACAGTTTATCAACGGCTGACCATCGACCTTGGCCACAACATTAAAGAGCAATATAAATGCCTGAAGAAACTTTATAGAACGCTGAATAGTGGAGGAAGCAAATATAATTTTAACGGAGCGGTGGGTGCGAAAAGGACCGGACACAACGGGAAACGGCTAGCAAATAATTTAACTATCCTTGCGGTGTTTTCTGCCAGTTCGGACGACTATCTTTGCATCCATTTTGAACTGGCTATCGGTTGCTTCGCTTTGCATTCGCCTTCCTGGGTCACTCCGTAATGTGGTCGTGGACCTAATTGGAAATCAATAAGAGTGTTTCCGGTGCCGTTTAGCAGAGCTCCTGTTTTCACTGAAAACAATGTAACTCTTGCATTCAAAAAATGTCGAAATATATACAGGTATTATCTACATTTGAGAATATATGAGTGAAGATATTAAAGGGAGTTTTAAGTTATTAATATAATGTGTACTTGGGTTTAAATTTCTCAAGCCTTGAGGTTGTAAAAACTTTTTATATTACTTATTATTTTAAATACATTATTTTTTAAACTATTGCTGTACATTTTTTTATGTGCAGACAACTAATACACGTTCGATTCTCTTTTGGAGCCACCAATTTCTGGCACCAGTTCAAAGTTGCCTTTGCAGTTTTTTTACACCCACGCTGGCCTTACTTAGGCTACTTATGCCCCATTGCTGCCTTCCAAATTGAATGAAAGCACATTTTGATTGAAAAGGAAATTTACGGTGAACTTATATAGACACAGTCAGGAACCGCAACAGTTCGCAGGACCTGGGGGATCTCCTGCACGGCTGCTTTAACAGCCAATGTAGCGTTGCCCGTCGCAGCTCCCGGCGGATTTATCAGTCAATGTTGGAAAATTAGTTAACGGGTTTTCCCGAAAGTTTTTTTTTTGCACGCCAACTTGTCCAACAAGTTCCTTTGGCCCACCAAAATATTTAAGGCTCAATGTCCACAAAAAAGGGAAATTGGGGGCAGGGATTTTCTCGGTTTCGTTCAACGGAAAAGGAAACCTCAAGCGTTTGAAGTTGATGGCCGAAATTAATTAAAGGTTGGTTAGGGAAAGTTTGGTAATTAACCTTGAAGCAACGGGATTTAAGTCAAATCTAAAGTTGAATACCAAAGCAAAACAAATTTAGTTTCTAAGATCTAATAACTTTATTTTATATAGATAATTGAGGGTAGGTAGTGATTTTGGATTACATAGTGCGTTTAAACTACTATAGACACAAGTTCCTTTATATAGTCACTACATTAAATATAAGTAATATGCGTATAAGAATATTTTCATTTGGTTACAATTATTTCTACTCTCCGTGAACTATATTTTCAACACATTTTAATTTAGCGGGATGTTAAACTAAAATTCTATGGATATTTTGTGCCCTCTGTGCCCTGAAACCTTCGCCTAAAAATTATAAACTGAAATTGTAAATCTTCGCTTGCATTTTGTATATATTTAAATTGGTACTAATTTATTTGTTTAATATATGTAGTTGGTAGTTTGTATTTTAGGTACTTCTTGACATTCCTGACACATAAAATGTATATTAAATATATATATATTCTTCGAATAATTGATACCATACAAAGCACATTCATTGAGATATATATATATCATGTTTGAAAGTAGTATGTGACTTGTTTAAATCTTTATCCTGCTTAAAACGTATCCCTGCAAGTTCCTTTATTCCAAAACGTCGTAACATTATGTATAAATGATATTAGTACAGCCGTGTTCACAATAATAGTTATATTCCATGAATAAAAAGATAATATTTAGTTTTTTTTTTAAATTGAAAATATATATAAATCATTTCCGTTGCTCCTATTAATTTGAAAAAAGCTGTACCTGTTTCCTGATGTTCAATCCACACGCGGAATCATGACTTTTGTTTATTAATTAGTATTTTTTAATAGAGTAAGGGTTTGTGATTGTTTTATGTTTATTTAATTTTGTAGACTGAAATTAATTTTATGAAGCTGCGAAAAGTTAACCGTCATAATACCAGTTTTAATGAGTTATGTGCAACATCTTTTTCCAATTTATTTCAAACTCGATGCCCATTGAGTATCGCACAACGCGTTCAAAAAAAGGTTTAGTAACCGCTATGCCGATTTAAAAATCTCAGAAACCACAGAATGTAACAGAAATGTTAAGTGGTAAGATAAAAGGTGTGAACATTTGCTGCATCCATATTTAAGCAAAAAAAATGAAACGATGTGCTTTTTCATGCTTTAACCCTTACTCCAGACTTACTTTTACCCAAGACAACCACCGGCACGGTCCTTACTTAGACACGAACCAAGAGCAGCCGGCAACTGTGGAAGCTAGTTCTTGTTGTTTGCGTTTTTGGCCGCGGTAGCTAAATTGTTTGCCGGTTCCTGGAGTGGAACCCATTGGGCCGTAGCATTTTTGGCGCGGAAAATTTCCTCAAAAAATATTTTCTCCTCAGTGCGAACTTCTGGCGAGTTTCCAATGAGAGTACGACCCAAAATTTCACTGGAACCTGCAAAATATATAAAACGATATGTTGCTATATTTACCAACTGTAAAAATTCAAAATAATGGGGCTTAGCTGTTCATAAGTTTAAAAAATTGTCTCAGAGCATTACAAAATACACAAATACAAAAAAAAATACACATTTTTCGTTAGAGAAAGGCATAACCAAATTCACAAACATCAGAATTATTAACGTTGTTAGGTTCGCCCTAAATAGTATATAAACGGAATTAAAGGGCTTAGTTCTAAAAGTACTCGGTTGTCGTTAAGTTGGATATTACCATGAAATTCATAATTATTTCGATTATCGTCACATTGTGCTTACTAAGGCAAAGGATTTTTGGATATGATGAAGGTAAATAATACTATTTGTCTTTACTGTAATACTCAATGAACAAGTATTTTATTGTTATTATTTGTTCCAATAGAGAGATGTGATGATGATCTCAACTCCTCTGAAAATGGTTGTGCCAATCAGCCCGAAGTCACGTATTCACATTTTTATAATAGTTGCATCAAAGTCCAATTTTGCGAAGCCGATAGAAACCATAACTCAAAAAACAGATTTAGGACTTTTGCTGAATGCGATATGGCTTGCCTTGGTAAGATGCTGGAAAAAGAGTTGACTTTCAATACTTAAATTAACTTTTATAATTAATAGGACATCTGCAAAAATATTCACTAGATGCACCGCAAACTGAGGAACAATATGTGGAAGCAGTTGAAAAATTCAGAACTGCATTTTATCCGGGATAAAACTATGGACAAACATTACGATACAATTTAAATTGGAGCGCAGCCGACTTAAGAAGCCCTGAATAATTGTGTTAAATTTTTCTAAATGTTAGAATGGCAAGTAAGTCAGTTTTTGAGTTGCTCATTAATGAAAGTTAAAGGCGATGGAATTTTTGGCACTAAACATATAATTTCGTTACTCACCCAGTAAGCCATCGTGAACCACTGTGAATTCTAGTACACAATTTTTCAGGGTCTCCTTGGCCACATCGAAAGCCAGGGCTTCATTGTAAACGGGATTCAGGGTGCCCCTTTGGACGCCCGTCTTGCGTTTCTTCATTTTCTTGCCACCGGGACCCAGAAGAGTAACCTTCACATAAGGATCCGAAGAGTTGCGGGCATCGTCCACGATCCGCAGATTTCGGGCCTTGATCAGGACCACCATCAAACGTTCGGCAGATGGCAAATAGGCCAGGGACACCATTATATCGCCCAGATCCACCTTCATATCTTGAGCCGAGGCAGAACTGAGGGGGGTCCAAAGCTTCAACTGTTCACTCAGATCCAAGTTGGCCAGGTGCAGTTTCGTTCCCCCAATGCAAACGTGCCGGGAATAGGCATCAAAGTCGTACAGTAAGATCTCCACTGTTCGTTTGTCAATTACTCCGGCGGTTACCTCAAATACAAACTGCTCGTCGAAAACTAAATTGAAAATAAATCGTTAATTTAAAAGTGTTTTAACAGAATGAAAAAATGTAATATAAAATACATTCAGTGAATTAGTACCTGGATTAAGGGTCCTTTTGTGAATGCGTGTCTGCCAGAAATTCTTTTTATCCGGCAACAATCGAACCTTGGCATAGGGGTCGGCAGTTCCACTGAATTGCCTAGGCTGCAGATTCTGAGCCTCCAGTAGTCTGACATTAAGCAAGCCACCAACAGGATCATAGCCAATGCTCACATGCAAATTGCCGCGGACTTCATTAAGCGAAACGGGATTGATGGTCTTGGGCTGAGAGTGCTGCAAAATGGCATATATGTTATATAAAAAAGAAGTTGTAAAATAAAGTAACACCCTTTACTTACACTTCGGTACAGGGTCATGTCTATTTTAGTGTGATCCAGTTTGGCATTCATGGAGGAAACCCTAGGACGACTGGGGTGCATGGCCAGGACCACATGCTTATCGGATCTGGCGATGGGAACAGAAGTGGTTGAGCAGTAGGACAGGGTGTTGGACTTCAGGCTGCCGGTGGGCGAAGTTGGGGTGGGTGGTGCCGACTCCTCGGTGGTGTTCGACACCTGTTGCTGTATGGCGGCCGTCGAGGTGACCGAGGCGGGTACCCAAAACGCAGGGTCATTGTCCTCGCTCTTCAGGGAGGTGGGGCTTAGGTTGCCGGCATTTCCGCTGCCAAATTTCCCACGCGGCACCTCGTTTATGCTGTCCACATTGTAGCCCACGGCACCTGCTACCAAGGCCTCCCTGCTAAAGTGAAAAACAATTTAAGGCGTTATATACGGTTATTACCATCAGGGGTGCTTGAAAAACTCGAACAGAAGTTGAAAAAAAATTTCAATTATCTTACACAGGTTTGCCATTTTCACATTGTGTTTCTTTTCTTATTTCGTTTTTATTTGGTTGTGAACAGCAAAAACCCTGATCACATTTACAAATCGTTAAAAAGGAGGTTTAAATTTAAAATAAATTCCAAAACACCATTTAAGTATAGAGTCAAACTAATATTGCATTCTTACTTTAAACAACGAATATTTTAAGTGTGTGATTTTTCTGATAAGAATATAAACCACATTAAACATAATATTAAACATAAACACATTTTGTTATTGATAGTTATTCTTTTCTAGATAATTTTTTTAATATACTGTAAGATTCATCGTTTGCTGTCTAAAAACAGTTTTCGTTTATAAAACAAACAATTTGTTAATACAAAACACTTGTCAAAATTAATGATTTCCTGAATTTTTTTCATTTAGATAAAAACCAATACTTGTGGGACCCACCTCTGCTGATCTTCATCTTTTTCGTTGGCCGACTCCAGAAGATTCTGTTCAAACCAGTTGAGACGATACCGTTTGGAGCAAGTGGTGTAGAGGGCTGCCCCAACGGCCGAAACCACTAGAAAGGATACCGAGGCATAGACGCCAATCTGGGCTAAGGAAATGTCCTCTTCACGTATGACAATGTCCATTTCTGAGGTTATGGGTCAATCTGCAAGAAAATAAGTGAGATCAATGGGTCAATGAATGCAGCAAATTCTTCCACACAACACATAAGATGACAACGTGGGTCAATTACTCGCCGTGACCCCGCATCGATTACTCTCTACCCGGCTAATGACACCCAAACTAGCCATAAAACGTTCATTAGCAAGTCAGGACCCTGGTATGTGTGCCTCATAAATAAATCAAAGCTCGGCACCCCACGTCCGACATTCATCTTCTCCGTTCTCTGGCTTTGTGGGTTATTAATTGAGCGGCTTAAGGTGGTCGTGGTTTTGTGGGGCACCGCAAAATCCTGACCGAAGGCACGTGCTGACAGTTCCCCACCAGCTTCCCGGGTCCACGAGGTGGATAATGTGGATAAAGGGGCCGGGGGGTCTTGTCTTTGTTAGACCGTAGCCACACAAAATTGCCATAAAGGCGCCTCGGCCTCGGTTAGTTCGCAATTAGCCGAGCAAACTGCCAAGTGACCCTCATCCCAGGCACCCCCACAAAGCCTCAAAATTACGCCCGCACTTAAAACAAAAAACCATTTCAGGATGTCCGCATAAAACTGGTTTGATCACTGCCCAAAATAGTAGTTTCGTTTTTTTTTCTCAAAAATGTCAAATTGTTTTTCCCTTAAATAAGAAAATAGTTTGAGATAACTAGGTGAAAAGGTTTTAAATTGTTTACTATTGGCCCACAAACTTGTTATAAACTTAAGTTATTTCTAAAAGTATCAAGATAAGTTTAAGAAGAAAAAAAGTTTTTATTAAGAAATTATTTTTAAAGGGAGTATCAATACTTTTAATATATATACTTTAATAAGCTAGTATCACATTATTATTGTAATTCCTTTCTGATCAATGGAAAATTAATGACCGCGAGATTTTGTGTATTAAACTTAATTGAAGTCCACAAAATGTAATTAATTAAAGGACAGCACTTTTTTTCTGTGCTATAGAAATGTAAAGAGCGTGGAGAGCTGCCAACAAAATGAAGCGATGTCTGTTTAAAAAGCAAAAGTATATAACCGACTTGTTAATTAATTAGTATATTTATATTTGAAAGCCACCTTTAGGTGAATCCTACGTTCCCTCATTTGCCTCAGACCCTTTCCCCACCCACTTGCACCCTTTTTTCTGGCCAATTTCAGCAAATTTACTTTTCGTTTATTATTTATTTACGGCTAACTTTTGTTTTGGGTCTACGCTTTCTTTTATGGCAATTGCATGAGGTGTGTATGCGGGTTCAATTCCTTGTTTTCCATCCTCCTGTTTCGCGTTCCTTGCAAATTCTTGGGGAAATGATTTATGTTCCCTTATGTGCAAAATAAGAGAGTACGAGGCTAAGTGCAGAAAATGTTGGCCCTTCATGTGGCTGCTTGGAAAATTTATGAAATTAGTTCTAATTTAAACTTTGACAGTTACGAAGATAAGCTGCTATCGCCGAAGACAGAGCAGTAAATTAAAGGAATAATTTGTGAAGCAGCACTTAAGCGCTTTATGTAGACATTTCCAGTGAAATCTATTTGCCAGTCATTTGCCATTAATCCCCTGGGAAATATGGCAGAATGCCATCGAACTGATATCACCTTCCTTTTTTCCAGCCGCTGCGCCAACAAAAGCGCGTTCCCCGCCCACGTATGTAAATCACACATAACCCAATCAATGTCAAATTGAGCAGATCCAAGAGCCACGCCTCTCATCATCAGTCAGCCATTCAGTCATTCGAGGTGTCCTTTTGCGCATTAATGTGCCAACATTGATGTCCTGACACTCGCTGCCTCCACAAATGTTTTTATCCCGGCACATGTGGTTATGTGGTTAAAATGATTTTTATTACCTTTCTTTATAAAATAGCCATACCATTTTGGGGTAAACTTGAAATACTATAAATAAAACTACCTACGACTGCGATGGAAAATAAATTAAAACCTTTCCCCAGACCTTGCTAATCAGATGAGCTATCTATGTCTTTCAGGGAAGAACACAATAATATTTTTTTTATATGAAGTTTTATTATGCAAAATATATCCTTCAAAAGAAGATCTAAGTAAACCAGTTCCACTTTGAACCCAACCTAAAAGCTTATGTAAGCTGAGTGAGGGTGTTTTAAAGAATCTGTTCCATGGCCTTTACTCCGTGTTCCCTTGTTGAGGCCAGGTATTTGCTCACATGCATCATTCGCACATGTGTGGGCCTCTGGGCATAGGGATTTATTGCTCCAGTCATAAATTTTAATACAAAAACCGCGCTCTAGCCCTTTGGCCCGACTGTGTGGTATTTGGTTGGCTTTGTAAATCATTTTGCGGCCTTTATCGAGCACATTTTCACTTTTCGCCGGAATACCTAGATAAGACCGCGGCACTACTTCCGCCTGTGGTTTTGTTTGCGTCGCAACAAAGTCAAGGGCAAAAATGCGTCCCTCCAAGTCCCGTAATGTGTTGACAGAGCGACTAAAATTAAGTTTATCTAATCGATAAAATCAACCGCATGGTTCATTGCCTGCCTGGGAAAACGGTGAGTGTGTGGGCCAGGCCGCTCCCGTGATTTCCCTAAGCTTCAGCTGGCGATTTCATCATCCTTGCTTAAAAAAATTAATAGATAAAAATGCCTTTCAGTGGACGCATTGCCTTTTGAATGACGCAATTATGGCAAATGATGCTCATTAGTCTAATGAAGTGTTTTGTGACTCAAAGACCCGTAGAATGGTCACAGTTGCCCTTCCATTTGTTGTTCAAATCCACGCCCTGCTGTTTTTTCAGGGCACGTGGACAATTGCAGTTGTCAGCAAGCCAAACTCCCTATTATCCTGTTGCCAGGGCAGTCTGATAATGTACAGTCAGCTGGATAGACAGATAATTGTAGATAATGTTTAAATATGTTCGCCACATATATTTAAAACCAGAAAAAATGAACTATTTATGTTTCAAGCCCTGAAAGTGAGTTAGTTCATTTTGTACAGGTAAGCAACAATTTTCCCCAGGCATTTTAAAATGGCTTTCTTTCTTTCGCAAACCGAATGGGTTTTGATTGAGCGGAAGTAAATTAACTCACAATAACGAGTTTTTTTTGCACTAAGACAGTTCCATTAAGCGAACATTTTACTCAGACTTCCGGAAGCATTTTGCCTCAATCCTTTCGGCTTTTGTTCGGTGTATCCTACCTTAGAGTATTGCAAAAGCATTGGCCAAGTGCTGGTTGCACACCTGTTCCCGACAGTAATTACATTACGACATCGGGTCCACGAGGATGCGCGTGTTGGCGTTGTCCTGAATTGTACTGGACAAAAGGCTGACCTGAACATAAAAATTAAACCCACACCAAGTACACAGAGAAAAAGTTTCCTTTGAGTAATTCTAATTTGTATTTTTTAAAGAAATATATTCTTTTTCTACCTAATTGTCATGAACATTTTAAAGCAATTATTTGTACGTGTCTGAATGAGTAATTAATTTGTTAAAGAAGCCCATGAGGTAAGTTATTGATTTTCATTAGAGTGTTTCTTCCATTTTTCTGTGCTTGTTTCAGTTGTAAAAGTAAACTTATGCAGGCTTCCTGGAATTTCTCATCTCGTGGCTTCCCGCACCTGCGCTGAACTTTAATTTGGCTTTACCTCATCCAGTGCAGTTTTATTTACATTCCCTCGAGCTACAAATGGATAACCTTCGGTGTGCATAAACAAACAGCAGAAGAGAAGGTTTGCCAGCACACGCGGTCCGAAGGGCACGATGGCCTCCAGGAGTGAGGGAGTCAGAGTTGATGGATGCGGAGGTCCTGGCCGTCAATAATCAGGCATCAGCACTTTGTATTACGCGCCGTAATGACACATTCGAGGCGCTAGTTTATCCACATCAGCAACATCATTATCATCATCAGCTCTGACCCCCTTTTGAGTCTCCTTTATGTGTCTGTTTTTGTTATTCGAGTTGATTATCTCCCACCAATGGCTGCGCAAGTTGTTGTCCTCAATGTCAATGGGATCAGCGGGGCAAATTGGAGGCTGACCCCATCGCAGTCTTTGCTAATTAGCCATCAATGAATATTTATAGCTTATGGCAGGGATACAGGGGATATACTATTAGAGGCTGAAAGCCGGCTGGGACCAGTGAAAAGGGCGTAAATGGATTTATAAACTTAGCAAGATAAGGAAAACTTGATATTAAAATGTTATCCCTTTGGAAAAGTTTCGATTACAGAATTTATGAAAGCATTAGCTTTTTTGAACTCGTCATTTTCTGTTTTTGTAGCCTTTTCCTTTTTCTATTTTCCACTAACAAATAACATACTAATTTAAATTCATCTTATCTTAAGTTAACGCCAATAAGAAATCAACATGTTTGTATATCTTTGATTAATAAACCCATCTGTAAAAGCCTTTTAGTTTAGCAAAATATTTTTAATTTAATATTCGAAATTAAAACTACAATTTTAGTTATCACTTTTAAGATATTAAAAAAGTCAAAACTCTTTTTTATTAAAAAAAAACAATTTCAATCCTTTATCTCCCTCTCGAAAACACTCAAAAGCCCGGAATATGCGATAAAAACGGAATAAAAGATCCCATTAAAATCAACAACCATATGTCAATTCGCCACAGGCCATTAAGCCATGGGACCCGACCAACGGGGCACAGAAAATATTGAAAATAAAAAATAAAACATAAGAGAGAGACTGGAAAAGCAAGATAAACAGCAATTTAATAAAGTGACCCAAAGTTATGCGCCCCCAGTCTAAGGGCGCCGAGCATAAAAATAAACAATAAAACGCTCATTAAAACGCTGAAAATGCCCAAGAAGTAAACAACGCAAAATGTTTACATGCGAACACAGGAGGACCAAAAAAAAAATAAAATGAAGGGAAAAACATGTCTTGGCGTGAGCTACGGAAATAATAAGTGTGATATTAATACTTGTGTGCTTTGAACAAAAGGAAACCCGCTCGGCAACCGACATAAAGGAATCCAGTGGTGGGCCACAGGCTAAACAGCTGCCAATAACTCAACAAGTTAACAAACATGGCTGGCTGGGAGCTTCTTTATGGCCTCGTCAATGTAGCCGTTGGCTGCTTTGGGCGACGTTTTTTGCATTAAAAATGCATTAATCTTTGGACACGTGATAAATATTCATGGCTCTCCGGCACCCAGAGATTTCTATAATAAATGCACTTCTTTAGTGCAGGCTGTTGACTGACTGACACGCAATATTCCTGGCAAAATGTATGACCAAGGTCGCTGGAAAAGAGCTCGATTCGGCGCTACGAAATGGAGGTCGGGGTTCACGGCCGAATACGGCTGTTTCAAGGACATACTTGTTGTGTTTGAGTGGTTGGCTACGTGGCCGAGTCCTGGCTTCTCCACCAGGTTAAACAGCCTGCGGCTGAGAAAATCCGGTCGAAATTCTTACTGCCTTTTCATACGGAATACACCAATCTTGGCAAAGGATCCCACATATGTTGGAGTACATTCGCAAGCGCACTCGACTAATTAAATTAAACATCCTATGCTTTGGGCGAATTTATCACAGCCACTGCAGATACGCGTTCCACGTGCCGTATACGCAATGCAATCATTTTGATCAGTAATCAGCTATTAATTTGCGAGAAGGGTGCCCAAAAAAAAAAGCGAGAAAGCAAATATATGATAATATATTTATGTGACGTAAATCTTTTTAATTTTTTTGCAAAAATCTGATCAACAATTTAAAAAAATACCAATTAATGCAATTAATGCACATACAGGTAGATTGTTTATTTTTGTAAACAAAATATCAATGGACTTGCGCATTCAAAAAAAATAAAACAGCATTCAATTTATTATTATTTCTTCAAGGCTTTTTCTGACTGTCTGAAAGTGTGCTGAGCCTTAATTCTTTAAGAAGATTAGCCAAATTTTATTTCCAAAAACATTTCCATAACTTTGTTTGCAAACTCCTATAAGAATGCCAAAAGATCACATCCCCCTCTCATATTAATTTTCTCAAGAATCTTTCTAACTGAAAATTGAGCAGAACTTTTCAATAGAAAGAAAATTCTCTGGCTTAACTTTTACAATAAAAGGTTGCCAGCTAACAATTCGAGCTGACGCTAGAAAATCAATTCACGTGCTCAACAAGTTCGAATTACATTGGCCCAACCAAAGCCTTGTCCAATAAAAACTTCACTCAGACTTCAAAGCGGTAACACACATTAAATATTGAATGTCTCGTTTGCCAAGCGTGCCTTAACTATTTTTCAATTTATAACATCAGATTTATATGCAAATCGAGTTCACATGAATCAAGCAGCTGTGTCAGTACTTACCCGATGAATATTTGCGAATCGGTGACTCAAATCCAAACAAAAATTGTGCAAACAATTTGCTTATTCAAATTGCTGCATGCAATTTTCCGCAACAATATGTTTACGAAATCCTTTTGACGGTCCGACGTGGCGTATGCGCAATTTGCTCTACACAGAGCAACGCATATTGTGCGTGCTTTGGGTTCCTAACGAGTTTTCAAAACAATTTCCTTATTAGCGGGCTTTCATTTATTTTTTATTTAATAATCCCCTTGTGCACACTGGTCAATTATTTCAACAAATGTATCCAAGCAGAGAGAGATGACTGGAAGCGGTTGAATTTTCCCTGTTGGCTCACGCGCCTCAACAACTTGGCCGGAGCGTTGCTGAAACTCGACTGTGTTGTTGTTCACCAAAAATTACACGCAGTTCCCCGATGTCATGTTCCATTTCACTCACACTTTGGCACCCAAAACACAGATGGGCTCATAGAAACACACAAATGCAAATGGAAAACTTCGAGGGCTCCTTTGATTCCGTTAAAACCTCTTATTGAAGAAATCATTTTTCTAAAGCTAATTAATACGTTTCATTTAGAGTTAAATAATAGCTCATTATTTATTATTAACCGGCTCTTTTAGCCAAAAATATACATGATTTTAACGTAAAGAAAAGCATTTTAACACAAAAGCTCCTTAACGAGCAACAGCTGGCTCATTTTGGAAAAGCCCGCGAAATCCCAAGCGTTTTATTATTTCAAACTTTTCCGCAAAGCTTTTGATTTTATAAAGCTTTTCAGGATGTCAGTTAGTTTTGAGATGCCACTTGTTTTATTTTCCTTCCAGTTTTTTTAAATATACATAGGTATACAATATTTTCTGGATTCTTGTCTGTTTTAAATGTTGACCCTCGAGATTAAACAAAACCGCTTGCTACTGATTTATATTACAATTAAAAATATTACTTGCTTAAAGATTGACTGAATAAAATTTTATTTATAGAAGATCAAAATGAATTGCACTTTTTTGGACTTGGTTTATTTCTATTGCCAAATACAAATTTAGATTGCGGGAAAAAAACCTGTGAATTAAAATCTGATCTTTTCTGACCTTTAAGTCACCAAAAAATCAAAATAATATTCACTTCTTTTATTTGTATTATATGCGATCGAGATGAATTGCACTTTTAAGCGCATTTAATATACATATTTAAATTGATTTGGTTTATTTATATTCCGAAAACAAGTTTAGATTGCGGGAAAAATATCAATGAACGCGTGGTATTCTCTTGATTGCCTTGGACTAGGGGATATTCTTGAAAATGAATTCACAAATAAAAAAAAAACAATATACTTTCCCAACTTTCAACAAAAGCCAAAACCAACGAGTAGTCACATTTCTTCTTACTTACTAATCAAAATATTTCCGACCGTGGACTTGACAATGCTTTTGAAGGTAAAGACTCGTACTTTTCTGGCTTATCTCAAAAACTTTTGCAAAATTCCGGCCCGAAATGATTTAAACTCAACTTTGATCTCCGCATCTACACATTTTTAGACTTTTTTGATAACACTACTCTCATCACTCTCATACAAATTTTATAGTCATAAAACAATCGGCCTTTTTCGCACAAATTGACGCAGGTTCTATTATCACGCAATTTGACAATGATAACCCAATATTACGGCTTCAAATTGTGCTCAAATTAATTTTTAAAGCTCAGTTATTCTCAGGCTTTTGTTGATGCTCTCAAGATATTTGATATAGGTTGAACCCCAAAGTCAAAGTCAAGTGGCTTAGGTAATCAGCACGTTATACGCTTGTCTTAACTATTCCTGCGGTTTTTTCATTGTAAATAAACGTGATGATGCTGATCTTAACACTGAGCTGCCAGCATATTAAATTACCAAACGATGTAAAAACCACACATCAAACTTGAACTCAATTGAAAATAATAAATAATAATTGTTCAATAACAATTGAACTGTGACGTCTTTTATACGCACATAATAATATTTTCTTCTTTCTGTTTGTTATTTAAATTAAGTAAAAATATTTTTGTTGTATATGGCGTAGTTAAAACAATTCACATCGCCTTGGTTTTTGTTATATTTATACAACACAATTCACAGAACTATTTAATTGCGTTCTGTCTGGCGCCGTTTTAAATTGGAAATTAAATATTAAGACTATTTTCATCAGACCTTTGATTTCATAAGTACGATTGATTAAACATACTCACGTATTATTAAAAAGAAACTTCTGATAGTTCAAATAGTTCAAAAGCGTGGCATCGTTTTAAAAATCAGCATAATTTCAAGTTCAAAGTTGTAATTAGCGATAATATTGAAGTCATTATCTCTGTTCCCATTAGACGCCTTCGAAAATTTAGAACAAAAGTCAGAGGCTTGACACAGATTGACACAATTTTTGGTGAATTAAAACGCATTTAAATATTTAAAGAAATTAAAAGCAGGCTATTAACCCAATACGTGTTTTGATTGCCTTAATGACTTGCGATCAAACGGTTCGAGTAGATGTAATTGATGCACGTTTGACTTGTACCAATAAATCAATTGTAATGCTGATAAGCTCCTTAAAAATTCGCCTTTTAAATAATTTTTCGCCCATAAAGAGTATAAGTTTGCAAGTAATTAGCTCATAGATCATCAGATTGTGAAGAGAATTCTATTACTTATGCTCATCTGCCCAAGCATATTGGGAATTTGAGTCATACGCGTGCGAGTGCCCATAAAATTAGTATTACCCAATCTCCCGATCTCAGTGCAATGCCTAGCCCTCCCATGAATATGGGTGCAAACAAGTTTGCCTATATAATGCCATATATATATTTGTATATAAAACCGATCTGTGGGAGCTTCGCTTCTCTGCACCCGAAGTCTTATCACCGTGCTTTCGGCCCCACCGATCAATTCACGTGTCGTCATTTATAAAACGATTACAGTCGAAGGCATGAATAACACTCGAGTGCCGGTGGCTGCACAAGAAACACACACAAGAGCTAAGAAAAACTGGAACTGAAACCGATCAAGCGAAACTCAACTCGACTCCAGACTGTCTGAAGTGATCGTGCGACGTTACAAATCGTTATATCAAATATTCGTAAAAGTGAAAGTAATTTACGCACAAAATGTCATCTGCGTTGACCAATCTTTTGCAATCGCTGAGGATTGTGCCCTTGGGCCATGGCAAATCCAGTAACCAAGTGGTGGTTGTATCGAACGCAAGGGAACGCTTGAAGGTGGAAGATCTGCCGGAAATTGCGCTGGAGGAGGTGGCCCAGCACGACAGCTTCGACGATTGCTGGGTGGTGATCTACGACAGAGTCTACGACGTCACCCACTTTCTGCGGGACCATCCTGGCGGCGATGATGTCATTATGGATCACGCAGGACGGGATGCCACCATCGCCTTCCACGGAACTGGACACTCTGGCGATGCCATCGAGCTGATGAAGGACTTCCTTATTGGTCAACTTCCCATCAGGCAGCATATCTTTCGAACTGGCAAAAACAAGGTCCTGTCCCTGGGCATACCGGAATAGTGTCAGCCGATCCCGCAACGATCGCCTTCGCCGCCGTCCTCCACGTTCTTATGTCTATATATGTTTTTAGAGTATTCATCGATTTTGTGTATAGTTTTAATCAGCTTATTTTCGCATTCCGCAAAACGGCTTTTGCTTAATCATCTAAAACCATTCAGCAAACTATGTATATTTATATGATGTTGTATATTTTTGTCAAGACTTGAAACGGATCTGAGATTAAATTATTTTATTTGTGACTGAGACTTTTTAGTATTTCACATTCGCTGGTTTGGATGTTTTTAACATAGAAGGGTTTCTTATTTATGCTGATTAAACTTTCTATCTTATAAAAATAGAAATAGCATTAAATCTGACTTAATCCAGTTATTTCTGCTGCTCAAAATTTTTAGCTTCAAAATACTCTCTACTTCAATAATACTTTATTTGGTAATATTCATCTTACACATAGTGGTTGACATTATGTAAATGCACAAATAAGAAATGCTTATGACAAAAATAAATATCACTTAACAGATTTTCACTTGGCTGCTCTGACAAAGAGGCTCTGGTTATCAACCTCCGTTCGTCTGACTAGTACACAAATATTTGGCCTTTTCCAATTGACTTAAGAATATTACTTGTTTTTTTTTTAATTGCTTATCAGAAGAACCATTGTTTAAAGGTGGTTCAGACTCTTATTTAACTGCTGCTGGAGGGCGGTTCGTTGTGGGGTCCTTGGAGAAGGGCCTGCAATTTGGCAGCCGCTGGAAAGGCTCCCAAATCCAAAGGTGCGGCTCCCGTGGTGCTTTGTATATAGGCCAGTAATCTAAAACAAAGAGATTGTTTTAATAACATATAAACATTTAACATTTAAAGATATTTTGATGTCAGTGGAGGCAGGCACACTCCTTCCTCTATTACCTCCTTAATTCCTCAAGAGCATTCTGCTGCATAAGAATATAGTTTTTGGCCAGCAGCAAGGTGGCTATTTTCGATAGTTTCCGCACAGAGGGTGAGTGGGCATAGGGAATCACACTCCTCAGCTCGTCCAGGGCATCATTCAAATCGTGCATCCTTCGCCGCTCCCGCGCGTTTATGTTCAGCCTTACAGTCTTTCCCTGGCGATTTTTCTGCTTGCCACCATTGGTGCCACTTCCTCCGGCTGAACCACTGGAAACAGCCACCGTGGTAGTGCCACCACTAATGGCAATGGCTGCGATAGCGGCGGCAGTGGGACTCAGCGGTTTCTCCGGGGCACTGGGTCCTGGCTTGTTCTCATCCGTTGGTGGCTGCTGGGACATGCCCATGCCCTGGGCATAAAAACCCCCCAGGCCCACCGATCCCAGTGGGGTTCGACGGCCGGGGACGCTTTGCGGTGGACTGGCGGTGGGGGGCGGGATGCTGGCCACCCAGCATATTGGCGGTGGGGGGTATCGGCATGTGGCCATGGTTGGGTAGACCGGGAAAACCAAAGGCCAGGTTAGAGGGATCCATTTCTATTTATTTTTCCGTGTCTTTTCCAGCTCTGCAAAAAAATAATGTTGAAGGGATGTGTAATCTTGTAGGGTAGTCCTTTCGCCTCAAAATTACTTTATTCAGGGTTGCAAAATGATATTATACAAATGGGGGTGGAAACTGTCAGCTGTTTGGTGGCGCCATCTGGCGGAATTTTGTTAAAAGACAAGCTTCCCAAAGCTACTCCTAGGTGGAGCCTTTAAATGTTTGGCGTCTATTTGAGAAAATCTTTTAATAGTCTCGTTGAAAACAAAAAATCACTACATTTAATCACTGAGCTTAACATTTAAATCAGTTAAAACAACCATAAACCATATAATTAATTATTAT